AACAAATTGTAAAACGCTCATTTTCCTGCCGCCCTGTCCAGTTGTGTTTACCTTTCTTTGCCATGCTTCTTTCTTTCGGGAAGACATAATATCCGAGGCCTATTTGCCTGGTGCTGTTAATATAGCTCTGTGCAATACAACAGGTGAAGCCACCAATTGAAAACCATGAGTAAACACCAGGCTAAAAGTCTCGTGCTAACCCGAAAATTTCCAAACGCCGGGCGTAGAATGCGCATTGACGCGGCCGGAAAACTGAGGAGAACTACAGGTACCAGAATGCACCGCGGCAGCGGTGGCGTCGCGCAACTCCTCGTGAGATTGGTCTATTCAGAGGTGTTTGAAGCGGCTGCAGCCAATCAGGGACGCAATATTTTCACGTGAGACCCCTGTGGTGGTGATGATGACAGCTAAAAACTTGGTTCTGGTTTGAAATGAATTGTTTTTTTGAAATAAACCTTTTCAGAAACATGAGTTAGTATTCTCAACACCATTCAAAGATATAAAAACACGTTTTTAGTGCACAGCTGTGCGTCTAAATAGTGCAAGAAAAATCAAATTTCATGATGATAGCAAGCTAGTCATAGCAATTCGGCTGCTGCGTGTGAATGCGGGCGCCCCGTGTTGCTGGTGTTGCGACGTCAAGTTGCTGGGTGAAATTGCCCCGTCTGAAGCGGGCCCAAGGCAATTTTCGATCCCGCTGCCTGTTTAAAACTACAACATCGATCAAAGAAAATGCAAAAATCCGATCCGATCCCCCCCCCCCCCCCCCCCCCGCGAAAATTTTCCACTGGTCAGACCTTGCCGGCGTTACCCCAACACCGAACCCACCAGTGTTGCCAATTTAGCGGTTTTCCCGCTAAACTTAGCAATTTTCGGTTCTGTTTAGCGGCATGAATTATAGTTTTGCGGGCGGCGGGATTTTTAGCTGGTTTTATGAAACCTTAGCGGTTTCTTAGCGACATACAAGTTATATCGATTTACTGTCAACTATGCACCTTTCGTATCCATAAAGACAAGGATAATAGGAGACAGTCGTCTTCGCTTACTCTCAGTAATGTTCTGGTTTGTGAGAGCAACGCCTGTGACGTCATCAAAACATTAAGGCGACGAATGTCGGAACATGCGTCCCTGTTTTGTGCGCGCACGTTTGAAGAGCATGAATGTTCCAATTTTCCTTTGACGTTTTTGTCACTGTTTCGTGAAATGAGCGTGGTGAAGTACGCTCAAAAGTTTAGAAAAGACTGGCTATAAGACCCTAAACTTAAAGACTGGCTACTGAAGGTTCCTGGTGATAGCAGACGAGCCAGGTGCCGCTATTTCAAAACAGAACTATCTGCGAAGAATGTGGATTTGGTCGCGCACGCTGCAGCGAAGAAGCATGTTTCGGCCGCTGCACATTTCTCCTCTGGTAGCAGACGACTCTACGAGTTGATCGGATCTGACTAGTCACGCGCTGCTGAAGGGTTCCTTTGCCATGTTCGTATGCGCTCACTCTGCAATTTCGACTTCTGATCACCCGGGTGAACTGTGGCGTGGCGTGACAGATTTCTAGTCAAAACAAACGGAAAGCTTCCTTTCAGGTGGCATTGATATATGATCTATATTGTTATTATACCTTTGCCAAGAATTAAAGCAAAAAAAAAGTGTCTAAAAAGTCGTTTTGCGCTGTGTTTTGGATTTAGCGGTTTTTTAGCGGTTTTCGGGATTCGGACTGCGGGTTTTTAATTTTTGAGTTGGCAACACTGGAACCCACTGGAAGAAAGGGTTGAGGCCTATACACTCCGTGCGGGAACTATAGGGGGCGCTTTGAAAAACGCGCGCAGCGCCGCTAGCGAAGGGGCTGGCGTTCGACTGTGAGGCGCGTTCAGCAGCCTGCGGCGCCTTTTCGCATGCCAAGCTGTGGCGGCGGAAGCGCGCACGGGCGAAATGTTTGCTTTTTGAGCCGATAAGTTGAGGGTGACGTTGCATGAGTGCTGGGGCAGAAGGGCATTTAGCTGTTCTCCACTTCTTATATATTGAGTTTGAGTCGTTATTAGGGGTAATCTCTCCAGTTGCGGCCGAAAAAGGAGTTGGAGCAATTTTCCAAAAAACAAGACGGCCGCCACCATAATTGCTCTGAGTGGGAAATTTATTTCGCTCGTCGCTGTAAACCTAGGACTGCTGGAACGATGATATTTGGAGGCGAGTGAGATGTTCACTGAGTTTGTGCACGAAGAGTGCCAAGTTTCTTTAATAGAGCAGGTGTGAAAGTTACGTTTCTAACGAATAAAGAAATAAAGCTGTACGGGATATCCAATATTGAACCCAAAATGTTGTGTTATAGCGAGCTGTGCAAACTGCAGATTTAGGCACACAGGTGCTTGGACTTGACAGTAACATGACACAGCACTTATTATACAAAAAAAAAAAAAGGTGGCATAGGGAAACCAGGTGAAAATTTGGTTTGGGCGGCGTAACTCAACGGGAACCGGTTTTAACCATGAAAAGGCTGTCAAGAGAATACCACTGGTCGGGGGAGGTGGAGACTTTACAGGTAGAAAGGGACTAGTGAGAACTGTACTTCCAATTGAAACAACTTTACGAAAGGTGGTTCCAAAGCCGAGAAAACAAAGTTGTCGGCCAACACACGGTTTGGCCGCCAAGGGCTTTTGTGGTCAGCTGTTGTGAAATAACCTGTTGTGCGAGGTGCTGATTTTCGGCGCACAGGTACTTTGACATGACCGTGACTTGGCACAACACTTATTATAACAAAAGAGTTGGCATAGCGAAACCAGGTGGAAATTTAGTTTGGGCGGCGTAACTAAATGGGAACTGGCTTTGAACGTCAAAGGCTGTCAGATAATACCGCTCATCCTGGGAGGTGCACACTTTACAGGTAGGAAGGGACCAGTAGACGATACTTCCAGTTCGAACCACTTTGCGATAGGTGGCTCTAAAGCCGAGAAAAAAATTGTTGCCTACAGAACTCGGGGTGTCAGCGTTTCCACATCCAAAAGGAGGCTGATCAAGAAAGAAAGCACACCACATTAACTTCCATACTCAAACGTCGATTCTCCAGTGATTCCGAGTTTCATCGTTGTTTTCTTTAGATTTATGTTTGTCACTTTTTTTACCGTTCGAATCTTTCTTCATGAAGTACAGAGTGTGTGCCACGCTTGTCCGGAAATATCATCGATACGTACGATGGGGACGAAACTTTTTTGGAGGGCATTCCTCCAACGAAATTGGCACTGCAGTCCCGCGAGTGTGGGATGGCATTTCAGTTCGTCCCATCGGCGCTGACACATGTCGGCGTTACTGGTACGAAAACAAACGCAGAGCGCAAAGCGGCAGTGTAGAATATGTCAGCCGTGCCGACACAGTGGCAGACATGATCGGGAAACCAAATTTCTCGCGTCGTACGGCACGGCTCCATCGCTGTCGCTGTCCCACAAAACATCGGCGAGGTGAAAAACTGAAACTTTGTCCCCACGAGATACCACGCATAACCATTGAAGCACTTAATGACGCAGCACAGGCAGCATTTCATGCTGTGAACCCAGCGCAACCACACCGCTCCGACTTCAATGCGTACCAACGTACGCGGCGTGGTTTCGGTTTCGTTTTCTCTGGGGTTCTCACTGCCTACCTTCGGTACCGGCCGCGCGGCGGCGCGCCAGTCGCGTCGCACAGAGTGTATGGTTGAGGCATTGGGCCAGAGCCACGCGGAAGGAATTCCCATGTTTGCTCTGTCCCGCCTGTATGTACCCGGCTGTGCTAATCAGTTTTACTTCATTCAATTTTCCCTCCTTCCATCCTCGCCAGCAAAGCCCAGCGCCTACACCAAATCCACTACTCCTTTACCTCCAAACCTTTTTTTTCTTATCTTTTTTTTTTTTTTAGATTTTATTAGGTCCGTTAATTGGTTAGAACAGTCAGGCGAGCCCGCCGTTTTCACGGCTCCAGATGACGCTCCTCGTGCGCAAAAGCGCAAAAAGTCGACGTTCAAGCAGTCTCACATAAAGCCACGGCCGTGAGCAGGGCCTTGCGAAGTTTATGTAACGAACGATTCAGTCTTGGGAACAGTACCTGTTTCTTGAGCGAGTCCTTGAACGTGAAACTTCTCTCTCACGCGATGCGATTGTTGCTCAAAAGAATGCTAAACGTACGGTGGATCAATGAACACGGCTGAAGCTGAAGCCTTTGAAATGGGCGGCATTTCGCGCCTCCTGGTCAGTAAAAATTGGTATTGGCATTTATTGCGTACCCAAAATCCCATGAAGGCTTTGATACATAGCTTTGATATTGGAGCACATAAAAGTCACAAGGAGTACAACATGCAAAGAGGTTAAATACAGGAGTGACACATCAGTCATAATAAAACAAATTACAAACACAACTCGGTATTCCAAGTTTTATGCTTCTATGCATTGGTGAGCCTTCAATCTGCTTGTCAGGATAAAACGTATCGCAGAGTCGCGTACGTTCAGCTGGCACATGTAAGCTTGTACTACTCAAAAGACCACATCGAAACGACGTTGTATGAGTTTCTGTAAAAACACCACATCTCGGCAATGCCTGCGGTCAAGGTTCTGAGGTTTGAAACTTTAAGAAGAAAATTATACTCGAAATAGAGACTCCTCTTAAAATGCCTAGACGATGCGTATCGTGAGATCATCCCGAGCACTAAGACCGGTACCACAAACGTTGACACGAGATTTGAACGATAGTTTACAGACAACTAGCAATTTGTATTTAAAGTGCAAGGGATTACTGCGTCTTGTTAGGGAAATTACCTTAGTTTTTGTTAACGTTCAAAGGCAAGCGGTTTAACAGATGGAAAGCCTCCGGTATGCATCAGTTTTATTCTAGCGTAGGTAAAAGTTTTAGTTTCTTGTTTTGTTCTAGCTTTTCTCACTTTTGGGACACTTTTTGTCCTTACTTACCAGATGGCGCGAGCCGCCCCAAAATTCATAGGCTTCAGTTTTAGCCGTGTTCATTGATCCATTGTTCGTTTAGCACTCTTGATCAACAACCGCACAGCGTGAAAGTGAAGTGAAGTTGGTTTCTCCGGTTTCCCGTTCATAGACTTTTCTACTCAAGAAACAGGTACTGTTCCCAAGACCCTTAGGTGCGAGGCGATAGCTTTAAAAGAAACTTCGGAAGGTCCTGCTCACGGCAATTGGCTTCATGTGAGACTTCGGCTTTTCGCGCTTTTGCGCACGAGTACCGTCATCTGATGGCGTGAAAACGGCGCGCTCGTCTGACTTTTAACCAATAAACGGAATTATTCAAATTACGAAAAAGAAAAGAAAAGACTCGCAGGTGAAGGAGTAATGGATTTGGCGGAGGTGCTGGCTTTTGCTGCCAAGGAGGAGGGGAGAAGCTGGGGACAGGCGGGACGGCAAACTTGGGACTTCGTCCCAAGTTTGCTCTGTCGCCAGCTATTAGCTCCTGTCTAATAGCTGTATACAGGGGGAAATGCAGCATCTGGCGTCGTTCAGCAGTCTTTTGAGCGCTTTCCAGTGGCTTTTGTCAAGTGTGTAGTAAATGGCTCCGTACATCACCTTAGACATGTGTATGGCTTGGACTAAGATCTTCGCAATCTTCTCACCGGCCCCTCCCATTTTCTAGGCAATGCGTCGAATGAGTGCTGTGCCCTGCTTCGAAGTCTTGGAGATTTGGGTGATCCATTCCGCCGGGAATCTTCTAGCATAGAAGGTGACAGATTTTGTGCGACATAGCTTTTTCGATTGGTGTACTACCACGATCAATATGAGCGCGAACACCGCTTCGCGTATCACGCGTAAGACCCCTGTATCGGGCAGGAGATCGAACTATAGGGGGCGCTCTGACCCCTTTGTTGTCCCCACCCTCTGTGTTTACTCAACACAAGGACTGTGCACATGCCCACAGGCCTTATGGGCATGTCCATGTCATCTACAATAGAGCGCGGGGCACAGTTTAATAAAAAAAAATACTAACAAGCGACGTTAGGTGCCGGATCTATCCTCAGAGAATGCGAGCTTGACCCACTTCGGCTTTTGTGCTGATCTGGGCACGTGCATGCTGCATTGTTCATGCAGTTCGGAGTGGAAACAAATAAGCCCCTCCTCCCCCTCACCGGAGAACACAAACTCCAGCTGAACACTGATGCCGCGTTCGGTTATGTCGGCCGAGCGCTGAATCATTGTATTTGTTGTCCCTAGAGCCACTAAATAAGCTGCGCTTAGAGTATCGGCACTCCGTTCCCTGACATTGTTGTGGGCGCCGCCATTTTGGCTCGTATGCAGAGCAGACGCAACTGCCGATCGTCATGATTCAAAAGTGCGACTTCCTCAGCATTAGATTCGGTGTTAGAAAGCTCATGTAGTATTGCTTTGCTCTGTCGCGAACGGTTTAAACATTTGTGGAGGGCGGAAAAACATTTCCTGTGATTTCAGATAAAGCTTCAGATAACTGGCAACCATGATTTTAAGACACAATATGGCCAAGTGTCGTTACTCTGAAGCGTAGCTTATTTAGTGGCACTAGTTGTCCCCATCCGTGTAGTTCTAAAGTTAACCGCTTGGGGCGTCACGGTCGCTCCTCCTCCCCAATACTGAAAGATAGCGCAATTCCTCCTCTCCCCTCCCTTTCCTCCTTTCCATCGACGGCAATCCTCCTCACCCTCTGTCCGCACCACGCCCCCCGCCGCCATGTCTGAGCGGGGCCCACAAGGCACGCGTCAACGCGCACCTGTGTGCCGGGCACAACCGGGTGCCGGGCCGTACATGTTATTGCATACGGCGGGCTAGAGATTTCTTATTTTTATTTTTTTCACATATGAAGACAGTGTCGTTTTTTAACGTGAAGAAACTCGCGTTTGTGCACCTTTATTGGAGTTATAAAGCACGGGAAGACGTCTCTATCGGCAAATAGAATAGCGCGAGCAGAGTTGGCTTCGCTCGGGCGTGGAGACAAGCTTTCTCCAGTTCCGAAAACGATTAAAAAAGAATATAGTTGAGTATTTTGGGACATTGGCATGCACTGCGAAAATATATTTTGTTTACCCGCCTATTGCAGCAAAAGCTGAGAGCAGGCACACAATAAAATGCACCTCTCCCTGCGTTTAAATAGAGTTTCATGGGCAAGGACTGCGTTGCTAGCGGGAGCCCGTGCCGTCGCTTTGAGCATGAATTGGGCACACGCCCGCAAGGCTCGCAATCCTTAGCGTATGCTCTACTAAAAAAATTTAGTATCTTGAACGAAGTGCATTTAGAGAATCGGCATCGCTCGAGTTAGGCAAATAAATGACACCACTACGCGTGTAAAACAGGACTTTTCGGTAAGTTTTAGCACCACCGGTCGTTTTGTCAATCCAGAAGCTTGGTTTACTTCATACACATTTTATAAGCGTAGAATACTACCTACAACTGTACAAATGCGCGCGGAGGAATATGCGACATCTGCTATTTACGCGCCTCGTGCAGAAAAAATTCCCGTCAAATAATCAAATACACTCACTTGTATCCCCTCCGTTAAAATAAAATAGCGCGTGCTCGGTTGCCTTGCCAGCACATTTATCATATATCATATGTATCAGTGTTTTGACGTTCTCACGCGCAAGGTGCATTTTTCAGTTCACTCTCAAAGCGTTTAAGCTTTGCCGCCCACCCGCGGGCGGCAAAGCTTAAAGGGATACTACAACGAAATTTCGGCGCTCATTTTTTGGTCTATATGTGTTCAAAAAAGCACCATCAAATCGAACATACCAATATCTTGTTAAAAAAGTCACGAAAAGGAAATTTTAAAACGAATTAAACGATTAGCAAAGAGCACCTGGCGGATGTCACTGACGCCTCGCTTGTAATGCTCGTCTAGGAACCTTGACAGCTAGTGACGGAGGTTGTCTCGCCTCCGGCCACGACGAGAGAAGAGGGGCAGGAGGAACTCCCCTCTTCCCGAGAATGCCTTTTGTGTGTCACAGAAGTCGCTATTGTCCCCCTACAAGATTATAGAAGATTAACCCGTCACTCAAAATTTGTACAAAAGCAGCCGCTTCTGTTGCTGGAACGACTAGGCCATCCTCTCGACGTCAGCCTCGCTGAGCTTTGCTCGTCTTGAGACGACCTACGTCACGATTGCGGTGGATGTCACGTGGTCTCCGCTGAACCTTCTCTGAGCGCTTGCCAGAGTGGGCCGTTTATAACGAAACATACAGCCACCAGGCTCAAAATACAAACGTGCGATTGTCATTTACGGATATTGTGGATCATATTCAACCTATTTTTGAACACGACGGGAATATTTCAAATTTCGTTGAAGTATCCCTTTAAACAGGGGGACACCCGGTAATTAAAAAGGTGCATGTGGTCTTCTGTAAGTCTCAATGGGAAAGTGGCATAATACATGGAGCTGATTGACGGCAATAGTCTTGTTTTCCCGTCTATATTTTCAGAAAATCACCTCTAACTCTTTAATAAGATGACAGTTAGTTTAGAGACTCTGGCATGTGGTTCGAACCTCAGTGCTATTTGGGCAGATGCTGTCCACTTGGCAGTGCATCATTTCTGCAGTGAAAAAGAAGGGTGTAAATTCTTTCGGGGGACACGCTGTTTGTTAATACGATTACTAGCTGCTGTGATCAGGTTTTACATGGTTTGCATTTCAGGTTTGTGAATCTTGAACACTCGGCAATGAAGCTTAGACCATACGTTTTATACGTATGAATGCGCTGTAACACATTTCCTCTTGCTTGCATGAGACCTGGTGCAATAATGCCTGTACAGCATCTTCCAAAGTATATATCGCTCTATTGCAAACTATATATGATTGCTGATTATGTTAATGGGAGATGCGGGTCAGAGTCGCAATCTTCTGCAAAAAAATTTAGTTTGGGGTTTTATGGTGTTTTCATATTTTAATTTAAAAATAGTAAGGACTAGTTATGAAGTAAAATTTGTGAAATAAGCATTGTAAACACTGGCAACCCAGAACTGCATAAATTTAAACCATTTTTGTGTGCGCGGTTCTTTAAATTGTTGTCGTTGCCACCACATTGTTTCCGCTCTGTTGCAGTCTTGTGCAGCTACAATTGCTTAGATAAAATTATAAACAAAAATATTTTTCCAACTGTGGAAGAGGTCGCTACGCATCAACGCTAACATTCAACCATGTTTTTCTCATTTATGTAATTTTGGGGCATCTTCACAAACAAGAATTTTTGTTTTTAATATTGTCCTATACAACCAAATTTGGCATGCATATGCTTTAGAATATATGGATTGCAACTACCTAGGTTCGGTTAGAATGTATATTTTTTATATTTAAGAAAACATTAAGAAACTTGTTAGCCGTTTGAAAGTGGTGTTTTCAATTTTTTCAGGCACTTTAAAATAAAATAGGTCTGGCACACATTATTTTTGTTGTTCATTACACACAGCAGTTTAAAAGGAGCAAATTAGTGTTTTTTTACTAGGCTCTTTTTAGTGTTGCCAAGCCCCACGTGAGTGCAAGAACATGGTTTTTTTCCCGCATGTTCAGAGCATCCAGAACATAAAGAACAAGCTTTATCAAAACTAACTCTAGACTTATATTAAAGGGTAACTGCAAAGAAAAAAAAGTTTTTTTTTAAACAGCCTAATTGGGACAAGCATGTCACAAAACAAATGTTCCGCGAAAAAAATGATTTTTTTTATCAATATTTACGCCACAGGATGTGATTTAGTAGAGTCAGAACCTCTCCACATTTGAAACTCCCGCTCTTTCGACCCCCGCGGAAGAGGAGTACGCCCCGCCCCTCACTCTTTTTGCGTTGCGGAGTTGAACGACGCAGCGTCTCGACTTCCGGCAAGATCTGGCAACTACGCCAGGCCGCGGTACCGCGGTATTGTTTTGGTTTGACGCGGTTTGCGAGCACATGTAGCGAAGACGTGACCGGAGAAGTGCCCCTGTGATGTTCCCGGATGACGGAAAGTATCGTTCGTAATCGTCGTGCGCGCTTTGAAAGCGAAGGGAGTCACAGAATCCACGAGTGCGCAACCACAAGCCAAGGTTCACGACAGCGCTGCGTTGGTTTCGGCGATCTCGTTCTGTTTGGTGCAACACGGCGATGCGACAGAGCTGAAACGTTCGTGGTGTGTGTAATGCGGTGCTAACACGGAGCGGAAATTGGTTGTTGTGGGGTTGACGTTCTACTGGTTCTACCAGAGAAGTCCCGTCGTCGTCAGCTGATCCAGTCAAACTGGTCCGGGAGGACGCTGGGAGCGTTTTAAAAGTAAATCTGCCTCGTTCTGTTTCAAAATGTGGAAGTTTCCCGACGCATACCGTGAGTAAAAGCTGCGGGCGTTTTCAACAAAATTACGTCGTTTTAATTGAACAATGGACTCCGAATTGTTGTTCTAAATCTGCCGTTTTTATGCTTCGTGTTGGACTGCGTTTGCACAGCGACGTGTTGCATCGTGCAGTGTGAATAAAGTTGGGCACGATTTCGTACCTGCCTACAGATGCATGAACTGAGACCATTTTTACATAGTGGACATAGTGCTTTTTTATTTTCTGTCTAGTCGCGGACGTTAGGTGCACACGGGGCGAATCTTGACGGCCTCCGGAGCGATATGACGAGAACGTAACTGGACACGTTTGTCGCTACGCGAACGCCCGATTGCCTCCAGCCAAATAGCATTCCTTTCGGGGCGACATGGCTGCTGGAAGGCTCACTGTCGGGGTCACGCATCTGACATCTCCGAAAAGTCAGCATTTGTACGCGCAAACAAGCAAAAAAAAAAAAAAAAAAAAAAGCACGCTAAGCAAGCAAAGAGGAAGACGAAAGAACCGCGCTATGAAAGCCAAAACCCCGCGTTGCTTCCTATCACTAACACCTGCGACAGCTGCTAAACACACACTAGTTCACTTCAAGAAGTACCTGGGTCAGTACGAAACGACGAAACACTGATCACTTCGGCGAAAGGATTAGTCGAGGTAGGCGAGACAGGCGGGAGCAGAGGCTTCGGCGGCCATGAAAGAATGGCGAAGTATGTGGCGAAGCTTCTGTTTGTATGAATCCAAACGGAAGTACCCGTCCTGTAAACCTTTTGCAAAAAATGATGACTCTCATTACACGGGTTATTCTTTAAACGTAAAAATATGCCGCTCAAAAGGAAATTGCAGCATACAACAAAGGTTTAACAACCAAGACCAAAGCTGTCAATCAAACTTTTAGCCAATGAGAACCTGTTGGGATTGACGTCACATAATCACAACTTCGTGGCGCGCGATTTAAAACGGACGAAATAGCCGCAAACTAAAATGAGTCTCACGCAATAAATATCGCTGTAAAAAATTTTTTTTCTCGCGGAAAAATTGTTTTTTGACATGCTTGTCCCAATTAGGCTATTAAAAAAAAAACTTTTTTTTTCTTTGCAGTTACCCTTTAAGGAGATCAAGCGTTATAAACTGTGGAAGTTTAATTCAATTATATAAAATAATGAAAAAATAGTTTCCCCTGGTGCATGTCCCACATTTAGCAACCTCTTACCACTTTTTGTGGTAAGAGGAATACGGCGGCTGTCCTGCATAGTTGGATCCGAGGGTCCTGTGTTTCATAGATGTTGCAAAACAAATTTAGCATTAATATGGGTACACCTAATGGGTTCCAGCCATATGGTTCTCTAAGATTTTGTGTCGTGCAAGTCGTATTTCCTTTAGCAGTTAGTATTTTTACTGTACTGGCACTGCAAAACAGAACAGGTTGTTTTGAGACATCTTCAAACTCTAAGTCAGGTGGCACAGGCTGTCGCCCATTGCCAACCACATAGGCATTTTATTTCATTCATTCATTATAGATATCTCGAAATGTACAAATCTTTGGTGTGTCTTGCGTGTTATTCTCATGGCTGACTGATTAGCTTGATGCGCTTGGAGGGTGTGCTCACTCTATTCTTAATTACTGTCATTGTTCATTGCATTTGATTTCTAGCATCTCAGGTGGTCCCTTGCGTCCCTCTTGATCTTACGAGACTCCCTGCGAACCTGACCTTGGGCAGCAATTGGAATGAAACCGATTCAGTCTTCAATTTGTGGTGAGTTTTTTTGTTTGTTTTCATTTCTTTTGCAAACATAGGACAATGATGGTGTCTAGACTACAGGCGGTCATGGTCTGGAGCAGTGCTCCTCGTACACCTGTCCAGAGACTCCTTGGAGTCTGTGCCGATTCGGAGAGCCTCCACCGGGGGAGCAAGGAGCCCAGATGAAAATGTGCACGGTGATTGGGTTTTTTTTTACCGAGGAGAGGGATGCAAGCAGCGAATTTGAAGTTCCGGAGAGGTTCCTGGCAGCGGCGAATTAACGTTGGGCAAGCTAAATGTTGACTCCTATACATGAGGGGTGTGGAGATAGAAGACGGGAAGCAGGCTGTTTACCAGGTACTGGGCTGATGCTGGGAAAGAATGAAGAGGACAAAGTCAGTTAAAGTCTAACCTGCAAAATATTTTCCAGCCAGGGTGAAAATCCTCCTCGCCACCCTTCCCATCTCCCCCCTCCCGCTGCTGTCTTGATGGCAAGGGAAACTTTTCTTATTGCTGTGTCTTGGTACTGGATAAGCTGGGGAGCTTATCCCAGCTCATCCAGCCCCAACATGCAGCAACAAGAGGAGTCTCTCTGTGGTCAAGTTAATAGTGAGAGAGGGGGAAATGGAAAGGGTGGCAAGAAGGATTTTCACCCTGGTTGAAAAATGTTTTGCAGGTTGTGCTTTAAAAGGGCAGCGAAGGAAGCTGAAAGATATGAGAGAGTTGAGATTGGAAAAAAAGCCTACTGTGCAGAAACATTTGGATTAAGAAAAGATAACTTTTTTGACAATTCATAAAGAGGTTTGCTCTCTGTGTGGGAAAGGCGGGTACTGAGGGCCAGGACTTTTAGGTCAAGATCTGAGGAGGCAGATACAAATTGTACACTATGGAGACAGGCGAAGGTAACAGCGGAACATTGTAGGTTGGTAAGTCTGGTACATACCCAGACTGAGGCAGACTTTTTCATTGGTTTATTTATTTATTTATTTCATATTACCTTGAAGGCCCCGTTATAGGGCATTACACAAGGGATGGGACACTAAAAGCTTCTGTAAAAACAGTAATACAAGCTCGTGAGCAGCAACACAATGAATGACAAACTGAACATTTCAATATAGAACATAGTAATACAAACCCGTGAGCAGCAATAAAAATAGTAACAAACAGAAGAAAAAAAAAAGTAAATGAAGGGCACGATATTAACATATTAAACTCAGCATTGCTTGCACAGGGATCTAAATGTTCACCTAGTAGCTTTTTAAATACGTCCACATTGTTAGTTGTAACTATGTTATCAGGTAAAGCATTCCATCCTAATATTGTCAAAGGAAAAAAAGAATCGGCATAGGAGGGGGTGGAGGCAAATATAGGCTCTATTTTACAGCTGTTGTCTAGTCGTGGAAAAAACGAAATGGGACGTGGGAGTAAACTTTCTCTAAGCGTAGGGTTGTGGGGGTAGATCTTGAAAAACTGCGTCAATCAAGATATCTTCCTTCTTAAAGCAAGCTCAGGAAGATTCGCTCGCTCTCGCAAACCAGGCATTGGAGGGCTTGGTGAAAGAATAAGTGGTGTCCCAAAGGTTAAGTGAACAAAGAGATGACTGGAGAAATGGTGAGAACGTCTCAGGGATGTAACAAAAAAAAAACGAATAAAACTAGGACAAATTTAGTTAGAGTGGCTCAAGGGTTTGCTCGAATTGATGTCCTCTGCCCTAATTTATCCATCCACACAGGATAAACAAAATTGTTTAGCCGAGAATCTTTACATTTAAATTTCACGCAATGCTGTGTTGCTCATTTCCAATATCCCGTCTTCCATTTCCAGCTTGTTTCCTCTGAAACCAGGCAAAACTGGGTAGCACTAGACAAATGGTAATGGTAACCGTTACCCTGGGTACAACTGGACTCGTGGGCTGATGACCATCATGTTGAAAAAGGCAGAGCTTATTGCCTCTGTTGAGAATTATTGGCATTCACGGTGCTCAAAGTGGGGCAAATCTTATCATGAGTGCCACTTGAGTGCATTGCCCTGTGGACCCAACAAAGAGGTAGAAGGGCTTGGAGCATCTTGAAGTTTATTTTTGCCCACTCGCGCCAAGTATGTGACATAACAAGGTTTCTCCTTTCTTAAGTTCATTTCTAAGTGACGCTGGAGTGTGTTCTTCCGAGTTTATTTTTAACTTGAAATCCAGAGGTTTCTGGAGATTTAATTTATCGTCCACAAAGTTCAGAGTTTTCCTTTTAATGTGAAACATACTTTGGGCAGTTGCTCCGGATTTCGTGAAGCCGTGGCCCTCTATAGGAATATATTACATATCTATGTATCTCTTTATGCAGTAAGCATTGTGTATTGGATTCTTTTGAAGAATTTAATTTATTATCCTCGTCTTTCTGCATATGTCATGTATTTGCCTTCAATGTCTTTTATGGCATACTCAGCAACCAGGGTTTCACACTTCCAAACAGCAAACAAAAAATGTGTTTGCATACTCAACAGCTGGCATTTTTTCGAGTATTGTCTTCCCGTGTCGGTCTGAAGTGGTTATGCGAACTTTATGAGCAAACTTATTGATGATAATGAAAAATATATTTAATTACTGACTTAAGATTTGACAACATAAATAAAGGGCCGATAAGCCTTAAAGATGTACATCGTAAGTAAATGAACATCCAAATTATCTGAAAGATGTTTCGCAAATCTTTTCCGGCATTTTTATCCTCTATACACTCCGTGCGACGCGACTGGCGCGCCGCCGCGCGGCCGGTACCGAAGGTAGGCAGTGAGCACCCCAGAGAAAACGAAACCGAAACCACACCGGCGTACGTTGGTACGCGTTGAAGTCGGAGTGGTGCTGTTGCGCTGGGTTCACAGCTTAATGACGCAGCCTGTGCTGCGTCATTAAGTGCTTCAATAGTTATGCGTCGTATCTCGTGGAGACAAAGTTTCACAGTTTTTCACCTCGCGGATGTTTTGTGGGAGAGCGACAACGATGGAGCCGTGCCATACGACGCGAGAAATTTGGTGTCCCGATCATGTCTGCCACTGTGTCGACACGGCTGACATATTCTACACTGCCGCTTTGCGCTCTGCGTTTGTTTTCGTACCAGTAACTCCTACATGTGTCAGCGCCGATGGGACGAACTGAAATGCCATCCCACACTCGCGGGTATGCAGTGCCAATTTCGTTGGAGGAATGCCTTCCAAAGAAGTTTCGTCCCCATCGTACGAGTCGATGATAATTCCGGACAAATATGGCACGCAATCTGTACTTCATGAAGAAAGATTCGGACGGTAAAAAAAGTGACAAATATAAATCTAAAGAAAACAACCATGAAACTCGGAATCACTGGAGAATCGGCGTTTGCGTATGGAAGTTTATGTGGTGTGCTTTCTTTCTTGATCAGCCTCCTTTTGGATGTGGAAACACTGACACCCTGAGTTCTGTAGACAACAATTTTTTTCTCGGCTTTAGAGCCACCTATCGCAAAGTGGTTCGAACTGGAAGTACCGTCCACTGGTCCCTTCCTACCTGTAAAGTGTGCACCTCCCACGATGAGTGGTATTTTCTGACAGCTTTTGACGGTCAAAGCCAGTTCCCATTGAGTTACGCCGCCCAAACTAAATTTCCACCTGGTTTCGCTATGCCAACTATTTTTGTGTTAATAAATGTTATGCCAAGTGACGGTCATGTCAAAGTACCTGTGGGCCGAAAATCAGCACCTCGCACAACAGGTTATTACACAACAGCTGACCGCAAAAGTCCTTGGCGGCCAAACCGTGTGTTGGCCGACAGCTTTGTTTTCTCGGCTTTTGAACCACCTTTCGTAAAGTTGTTTCAATTGGAAGTACAGTTCTCACTAGTCCTTTCCTACCTCTAAAGTCTCCACCTCCCCCGACCAGTGGTATTATCTTGACAGCCTTTTCATGGTCAAAAACGGTTCTCATTGAGTTACGCCGCCCAAAACAAATGTTCACCTGGTTTCCCTATGCTACCTTTTTTTTTGTATAATAAGTGCTGTATCATGTTACTGTCAAGTCCAAGCACCTGTGTGCCCAAATCTGCACTTTGCACAGCCCACTATAACACAACATTTTGGGTCCAATATTGGATATCCCGTACAGCTTTATTTCCTTATTCGTTAGAAACAACTTTCACACACTTCGTGCAGAAACTTGGTGTACATCTCACTCGCCTCCAAATATCATCGTTCCAGCAGTCCTAGGTTTACAGCGACGAGCGAAATAAATTTCCCACTCAGAGCAATTATGGTGGCGGCCGTCTTGCTTTTCAGAAAATTGCTCCAACTCCTTTTTTGGCCGCAACTAGAGAAATTACCCCTATTAACGACTCGAACTCAATATATAAGAAGTGGAGAACAGCTATATGCCCTTCTTAGGTCTGCCCCAGCACTCACGTAACGTCACCCTCAACTTATCGGCTCAAAAAGTAAAAGTTCCGTCCGTGCGCGCTTCCGCCGCACCAGCTTGGCATGCAAAAAGGCGCCGCAGGCCGCTGAACGCACCTCACGGTCGAACGCCAGCTCCTCCGCTAGCGGCGCTGCGCGCGTTTTTCAAAGCGCCCCCTATAGTTCCCGCACGGAGTGTATAGGCACATGTATAAGTGATTTGGGAGAGGCTTAAACAAATTTTTGATTTTGAAGCTGATTTAAATGACTCATGTTCCTGATTCTTGGGGATACGGCCCGTTCGTCAAAAGATAATACGTAATAATCAACTCTTAGCAGGGCAATTCGTCAAAAAGGACAATTCGTCACATGCGATTCATGAGAGGGACAACTTGTCGAAAAACCAGAGATAATGTTTGAAGATCTTGTACCAGCCTTTTTAGCGTCCAGTCGCTTTTGTTATTCAACTTCTGTGTAGTGTCCTGTTTAGAAAGTGCAGTCTTTTGTTTTCTTTTAGGTTGATAAGCATTTTATTCACCTTGGAAGCATAGAATAGAAAACTTTCTGGTCTCCTTTGTAATCCACCTCCACGTTTTCTCAGCGCATGCA